ATAAACTTCTTTTAATAATCTTTCTCAAAATTCCACAAGTTTAAGCCGTGGTAGTATTGTATTGTTAGACAGCACAGCAACTGGCATGGTTACTAAGAGTGCGAGTTTCAGATATTAACTAAATAAAGATGGTGAAACTTAACACTTCATAAATAAAAATATACATAAAGCATAGAGGTGAGGCAATTACAGACCAAATCCTAAGAAGAAGAAAAAGACAAAGATGAAGACAACAAATGCTTTGGTCCCAAACCACAAGCACATGATGATAGACACGCAACCAACAAAGAGAGAGAGAGAGAAAGGAAAAGCACATGAGGTAAGACCATACACTTAGAGTACAGCTGCATCTTCAATCAGCAATCTTTACAGCTGAATTAGCCAAGCAATTCACATGGGAAACAGGGAGGCTGTCTTTTCAACTTGCCGACCCCATCTTCCGTCTTTGCTCTCCACCTCTTGTTAATTATTATTTCTAATTCATTTAAATTGATGCAATGGGACCGCATCATGCAGACACCTTGGATACATCTTTGCTGGATCTATTGTATTTCATGTGGCTACTAACAAGTTGACCTGCTGCGATGGCAGACATCAAGGACAGTTCCCCAGCTAGAACTGAACCGGCTACAATGGAGGCTAAGAGCCTTGAGTTTGAACCGGGCAAGTCTTTGCTAGCACCCTTCACCCCGAGCAGATTTAAACAAGCAGATTGAGATGCAAGTTGAGTCCCACCACCAACAGTGCCCACCTGAGAGGAACAAAAAAATCATAATTAGCTACATCATGAACTTTTATGATCCACCAGGGTGAAAAACCAATGACTGAAATGAGAGTCGAGTTACCTCAATGGAAGGCATAGAGACAGAGATGTGGAGATCCTTTCCATCATTCACAGCTTCCATCATGGTAATACACTGGGAACTCTCAACATTTTGCGCCGGGTCCTGGCCAGTTGCAATAAAGACTGCAGTGACAATGTTGCCAGCATGGGCATTAAATCCACCAAGAGCACCGGCAACAGCTGAACCTGCAAGATTCTTGAGCATGTTGAGCTCAACAAGTGCAGCAACGCTGGTTTTCAAAACGTTTTTCACCACCTCTTCCCTAATGATTGCCTCACACACCACTGATTTTCCTCGCCCTTCAATCCAGTTTACTGCAGCAGCTTTCTTGTCTGAACAGAAGTTTCCTGCAAACAGAGCAAAACATAAGAACAACAAAATTAAAACTAAGCATTGCTATTTACGTAGAAGATGACACTGTACAGAATTTCTCACAGAAATGTACAGAATTAGCTCCATAAGGAACTTAAATGAACATATATCCAAAGAAAAAAAAGGGGATGGTAACAAAAAAAAAAAATTCCTTAAAAATAAACACTCATGACTTTACTAACAAAGTGAAATGTGTAATTGAATTCTGTTTCTTTTTTTCAGTCAGTGGGGGCTGTGGATGAGGGTTGAGGGGACTGACATTCAGATATTCAGTTGATAGAACATCATCCACAATCAGGGGATAGAATACAGCAATAACTAATCATGGCTTCCTTGACATTAAATCTTCAAAATTCTACTTCCCAAAATAATAGAGGAAAGATTCACATCACTAATTTAAACTTTTGAATGGAAAAATAGACCACCAGGTCAACAAGAAGATGGTTGGACAAAAAAAAAGAGATCCACAAGATTGGTATCAGAAGTGATAGAGGTGCCTTTTTAAAGAATAAATCAAACATATTACAACTGGAGTATGACGATGTCAGTGATGAATTCAAAGCAGTCTCAGTGCCAAGAAATCAAGATCATTTGAAATTGAGAAACATGTCAAACTGATAGTTCAAAAGAGGTAAATCAATTACTATACAAAAAGTACAGCAACAAAAAAAGTGAAAATTCTAAAGTGATAATAAACCCAGCTTAAAAAATTTATGAAAGAAAATAGAAATAAGCAACCTACCCGAGATGCCAATAACATCCATGTCAGGAAAATCATTTCTTCGCAGGAATTCAAGGGTATTGTCAACCCCTTTCGACACCATGTTCATCCCCATTGCATCCCCTGTACTACAGGTAAATCGTATGTACAAATTCTTCCCAGCAATTGAGCATTGAATGCCTTGGAGCCTAGCAAATCTACTTGACCTGGTAACCAATAGAGCATATATTACAAATTAAAACACTAAGAAACTGATCCTCTTTTTCAATTTTTACCCAGAAAAAAAAATAGAAGTTCAGAGTCAATGTTAGTATCAATTTTCTTCCAAGAGAAAAAAAAAAAAAAAAACTGAAAA